TGAGGGAGTAGCTTCCACATCTTGTTTTTCTACCATCTGCTGGGCCTCAGTTGTTAACTTCTTCAGCTGACCCCATGTTGGCACTTCAGTCCCTTGCATAGCCTTCCTTTTCTTCTTTTTTCCACTTTGCTGTCATCGGGGCAACTCTCAGTCTTTTGAATGATGGGACAAGAGCTTCTCTGGGTCCATTGTGGTAACGCACTTAACGCTCTGGTACCCAAACTGGCTGCACTGCTCTTTCTGGAAAGATACAAACACAACCTCTTCCCCACATCATTACTGAATCTGGTTCAACTCTTGTCAGGAGGCCCAATGCCTTTTGGCCACTGTACAACCCTCTGCATTGTAATTCACAAAATTTTAACACATAACATTCTTCAATTTAACACACAACATTCTTCTCCCCCCTTTTTTGTTTTTATAGTTTCATTTTAAGAGTAGGATTGGCTCTTTCTGCTATTGTCTGAGTCCTGATCTATCACCCCAGGAAGAACTTGCCAATCCTGTGCTTCCCAGGGTGGTATGATAAAGGTTTACTGAGCCGGCTGGAAAGGCTGCAGTGGGGTTAAGGATAAGGACTCTACTGCCTGGTGGGACCTGAAGTTTCCCTACCTAAGGGGTATTAAATTATCATCAACATCAGTCATTTACCTAATTGCTTTCCTCTCCTGCATCCTGAACATAGTCCAGGCTGCTTGTTTCCACTCCCTGTAGCCCTTTGACTTTCATTTCTAGCTGCTTCTTTAGGGGGTAAAAGGAGAGGCTTATGAGCAACAGTAAGCTCTCCAAATGTTTGCACCAAACCACCATCATCCCAAACCTGCCGGCACTGTTCCCTTGCTTCCTCCAATCCTCGTTCATATTTGGGAGGAAGCTCATCGTCCGGAGGGCTCTCTTCCACAGGAGCTGCAGCCCCAGGGACTGGAGGAGGCAGCAGAGGCGCCGATGGTACAGGTGGAGTCAGAAGCCTCTGGTAGCCTTCCCCCATCTGTCTTGATTCCCCTGCCACAATCATCCATTCCCTTTCTGGAGTAGGCTCTAGGCAGTCCCGAATCAGGGACCACAGACTGAAAGCAGAGGCAGGCATTTCTTCTGGACCTTCAGCTATATAATGATCTTTAAGTTGTTTTCCTACCTTCTCCCATGCCTCTATATTTACCTTTCCTTCCTCAGAAAACCATGGGCAGATTTTACTCACAAAACCCAACAACTCGAAAAGCTGTTCATACCTCACAGAATAGCCCCGTGCTTGGAGCATAGCCTTAAGATGGATACGTATAAATTCTTTTCCTGTGATCCTGAATTTCCCATGTTTTACACCTAGTTATAGCACTGAACTTCGCTCCTTACCTTCCTTCTTGTTTTCTGCACGTGCTTCACTGGAGCATTCTTTCACCTGACAACTGAAGTTCCCCCGAACTCAGGCCCCGCATTGGGTGCCACATGTGCCGAGCCAGCTCAGCCAAGGGTTCGAAAGCCTGAGTGATGGCGGCGGAAGGATGAAGAAGTGACAAAGAGAATAAGCTGGGTCTAGGTAGATCTTCCTGTGCCTGGCTGAGGAAACAAGCTGGGCCTTTATTTTATAGCCAGAGGTAAACAAGGTATTCTGTCAGAAGAGTTACAATGATCTTGTGAGTTTCACTTGTTTTGACAGCACTTGCTATACCTCCCACAGCCCATTAGCTTCCCAGATAAGATCTAGGGAGTGTCATAAGGTCAAGCCTAATTATGCTAAAAGGACAGTGCCCTCTAAGCTGGGACTTGTTTGTGGCTTTGCCAACAGGTCAGTCCGAGGCTTAACCCTATAGCCATGCCCTACACACCGGAATCATCCAAAGCCAAACGTTGGGAGCTGAATGTCTAGCCATCACTTTAAGTGTTGGCTGTGTCTTAAACATAGCTCTGGAATCTATGCTGGTTGTAAAAGCAGGAGGGTAAGGGGGAGAGGTAGGACTGCTATTTCATTAGCTGCCCAAGTCTTAACAAAACAAGGCCTTGGGAAAGAACAACACTGAAAGTGATACCAAGCAAACGGTCCAGGAATTTCAGGTCAGGGGCCAGTTCTGACCTTCAGTTTAAACAGCTGGTGGGTTCCCTCATCCCCCACTCAGGTTTGGGTATTGGTAGGAAGAAACACTCAGAAAGTGTATGTATTCATTTGCTAGCGCTACTATAACGAAGTACCACAAATGGAGTGACTTGACAACAGAAATTTATTTCTCACAGTTCTGGAGGCTGGGAAGTCCAAGAGCAAGACACCAGCACAGTCATGTTCCTGGTTCATTGCTGGTGGTTCTCACATGGTGGAAGGTGCTGGGGATCTTTCTAGAGCCCCTTCTAGAAAGGCACTAATCTCAATCATGAGTGTTCCACCCATGACTTAAGCACCTCCCACTTCCTAATACCATCACCTTTGGAAGTTAGGATTTCAACATATGGGGTGGCAGGGCAACAACAGTGATACCTTCTGAGAAATGCATTGTTAGGCAATTTTGTCATCATGTGAACATCATAGAGTGCACTTAGACAAACCGAGGTGATTATAGGTGCTATGTACCTAGGCTATATAGTATGCCCAGTGGTCGGCAAACTCATTAGTCAACAGAGCCAAATATCAACAGTACTTCTTCAAAATAGACTCGCCCAGGCCGAAAACCGACTTCTGCGCATGGGCCACAAAGTTTCAATCGCACTGTACGCGCGCCAGCATGTGGTAATGTGGTATTTTGTGGAAGAGCCACACTCAAGGGGCCAAAGAGCCGCATGTGGCTTGTGAGCCACAGTTTGCCGACCATGGGTATAGCCTATTGCTCCTAGGCTGCAAGCCTGTATACATGTTATGTACTAAATACTGTAGGCAATTGTAATGCATTTCACTACAATGTTACAATGTCACTAGGCAATGGGAATTTTTGAGGTCCATTATAATCTTACTAAAGGCCCGGTGCATGAAAACTTGTGCACTGGGGGGGGGGGGCCCCTCAGCCCGGCCTACCCCCTCTCACAGTCCAGGAGCCCTCAGGGGATGTCCTACTGATAGCATAGGCCACAGTCTGGCCTCCCTCTGTGGGAGGCGACCACCTATCAGGGGAAGGCGCCGCCCTCATCACACCACTGCTGCTGCCACTGCCGGCCGCCTCGGCTGCGAGGTCTAAGCCCCGGGCCTAGCAACCACCAGGGCTCACGGCTGCCTGAGCCCATGGCTGCCTGAGCCCACGGCTGCCTGAGTCCTGGGCCTCGCAGCCACTGCCATGGCTGCCTGCCCTCAGCCCTCACCACCACCACCATGGCTGCCTGCCTTCGGCCCTCGCAGCCACTGCGGCTTTGTCCGGAAGACATCTGCTCTAATTAGCATATTGCCCTTTTATTAGTATAGATAAGACCACCATCCTTATGTGAACTTTCATTGACCAAAAAACATGGTTATGTGGCACATGACTGTAAACTCAAAACAGCACACGTTTAGTTCATGAGCATCTGCACTCATGATGAGAAAAGAGCATTCAAGGTGGACATTATAAAGCTATTTTGAAGAGAGCTTTTATTGATTTGCTATACTGAAAACACTTTTACTTATGTACTTTTCAAATTTTAATATTTTTGTAGATTACAATAAGATGCTAAAAAGCCAATATGCCTATCAAATGATATGTCTGGCCATTTCCCTCAATAATCATCATACTCTTGTCCTGGCGGGTTGCTCAGTTGGTTGGAGCATAAAAAGGTTATGGGTTCAATTCCTGGTCAGGGTGCATACCTAGGTTGTGGGTTCAACCTGAATGAGGTGCATACAGGAGGCAACCGATCAATGTTCCTCTCTCTCTCTCTCTGACCCTCTTCCCTTTCTCTCTCTCTCTCTCTCTCTCTCTCTGTCTCTCTCTCTCAAATCAATAAACATATCCTCAGGTAAGGATTAAAATCCTATATAATAAAGAAGTAATATGCAAACTGACCATCATGCCCTCACACAAGATGGCCAGCAGGGGAGGGTAGTTGGGGGCGACCGGGCCAGGGCAGCAGTTGTTAGGCATCAATCAGGCTGGCAGGGGAATGGTTAGGGGGTGATCAGGCGGGCAGGCTGAAGCGGTTAGGGGCAATCAGGCAGGCAGGCAGGCAAGCAGTTGGGAGCCAGCAGTCCCGGATTGTGAGAGGGATGTCCAACTGCCGGTTTAGGCCTGATTCCTGTGGGGGATAATAATCCCCCAAGGGGTCCCAGATTGGAGAGGGTGCAGGCTGGGCCCAGGGACACCCCCCCCCCAGTGCACGAATTTCATGCACCAGGCCTCTAGTAAATAATAAATAATCATCATACTCTTTATGGATTTAAAGGAGCAAGGGATTTTCTTAGGCCTGTCTTTCCCATCAGCTATTAAGTCAACTTTACTAGGAATGAGTTCTGGTAGAAAGATGATCATGTTAGATACTTATTTCCTACAGACCTGAAAGGACATTTGTCCCTTCCACCCTTAGGAATCATGGCCTTGCTGACACCTTGGTTCTAGACTTCTAGCTTCCAGGACGAGGAGAAGATAAATTTCTGTTATTTTAAGCCCCTCAGTTTGTGGTCCTTTGTTAGGGCACCCTTAGGAAAATAATACAGAGGCAAAGCAGCTTGTCACTGCTAACAGAATCACCCTGAGTTAGTGGCAGAGCCTGAACCAGGGTGCGCTCCCCTGATGCCTAATCCAACCACTTAACTTCACCATGCCACTTGAACTGTGAGACCCTGTCCCAAGAATGATGTCTTCTATTATGTTTTGGGCAGCACCCAAGGTCACTTTAGAGCTAAGGACTGAATCTAAGCTTCTGCTTTAAACCACCCACCTCTACAATTTTCTATGAGGTCCTTATTTTAATATTTTTCCTACTTAACTCTAGAAATTTCAAAAAGAACAATGTTTGGGATATGACATCAAATATTTAATGAAGATATATTATGTGCTAGTTAAGAGTTCTTATATATTATTTCTAATCTTCTCAATTGTAGGACATAGATATTGCTATCCTTGTTTTACATATAAAAAAACTGAGGCCCAGAGAGATTAAGTAATCCTCCAAGATCACTAGCTCCTAATGGATGAGCTCAGATTTCTTTCCACACATGATCTCTTGCTGAGTAAGACGTTCACATAAAAAGTTATATTACTGGTAGACCTAGTGCTTGCTTGTATCTGCAGGGCTTTGGCTGTTGTTCACACAAAGTCCTTATGAGCAGGGCAGCAATACCCACTGTATGTTGTTGTCATGCACGAACAGGGCAGATGGCAATATACGAGAAAACATGCAGCAATATAATGACTGATTGCTACCTAATTTTTCCCTTTCAAGCAGGCTTTTGGATTTCAACCTGTCCTGCTATAAAATCAAGTGGTTTCTTAGATGCCTAGAATCAGGTTGCAAATTCAACAAGCAACTAAACACGAGCCTACCTCTATAAAACCTATAGTACCCAGCTCATAACTCTGCTGACCACTGGAATTCCAGTGTGTTTGTAATGTCACCTGCAGCCATACATTTGTGAAAGGACACTTCTGGCCAAGAGAACACTGGCTCTGACAGTATCACTGAACATTTACTGAGTGTCCAATATTAAAGGTATAAAAATGGGACATAATCACTCCCTTCAAGGAGCTCACAATTTAATAGAAAACAAATAACTACAATATAACCTAAGTAAAGCAGAGGTGTGAATATACTGGTTTTTAAATCTGTCAGAGGCTAGCTGCTGAAGTTAGTCATCAAAAGTTCATTTTTCGTTGTTTGTATGTAAAATCATACAATAATTAATTACGAAACAAGAATAAACTGTTTCATGTACTCACAACTGTAAACCTACTTTTGCCCCACCCTGCATAATAAAAGTATATATAGTACAAGAATTCACACGAGCACCCTATAGGAGCCTCAATCATGCTGCAACCACCGGCAAGATGGGAACCATCTCCATAGAAGGCACCCAACTGCCTCTGTGCCCAACTGTTAGGTCAGGGACTGGCTGAACAAGAGCCAAGAGTGGGCAACAGAAAAATATGTATGGGGGGAAAGGCACTATCAAGGAAATGAGAGCTCTGCTTCACTGCTTTGTTCACATCCAGTCCACCTCCCCCATCTTTTGCTGGCGTCTGTTTGGGAAATGCAAAGTAGCAAAGTTATAATTAGCTCAAGGAAAACATAATTAAGGAAATAGAGTTCCATAAAGTTAGAAACCAAAATGCATTTTATTATTCCTTTGAGTGTGTGCTACATGTGTAATTGTTTTTCCATCAATGAGAACCAAGTCTATTATGATACTTCACTTAACTACAAACAATTATTAAGTTGTCATAATTCAACTTAAAATACAGCATATGGAAAAGAATTAAAATTACATGTTGGACTTCCTAGCAAAAAAAATAAGAAAACCAGCCAACACCTTGCCCTTTGAAGATTTCCTGGCAGTATAACACTTTATATGTAATAACGTAATTTCATTGCTAATTTTTGAGTCCATTTTTTATTTTATAAAATCTGTCTCCAAAGAAAAGTTAGGAATTTTCCTATTAACATTTTGTAAGACTCCCAAGTCCTATATATTACTTTTCTAAGCAATTTTTGGACTTTCCTACAAGGACTCACAAACAAGCACTTTGACTCAGCACATGGTAATACTATGGTTCAATTTCAGAAACTTCTGAAACTATGCTCGCTTTGTATAATTTACATTGTTCACTGTATTTTGACAATATTTTATTTAAAAAGAGTGGAAAAAGAAAAGTAAAAGTTAATAGTGGCAGTTAATATTAAGCAGATATTAACAGTGAAGAGCAGATATTCTCTAAATTTAATAAAATTAACACTAGATGGAAATCAATGTGCATGCTGAAAGATGTGAAACTTTTAGTATCAATTGGACACTGACTGGACTTAAACTGGTTGACTGTAATGTTCAGATGTGATGAAAGAGAAATAAATTAAAGAATATCTATAATGAATTAAGATCATGTCATCTAAGAAGAAATATTCTATAATTTTTAAAAATCTCTGGGAATGGAATGAACATTCCAACTCAAACCCTTCTATAGGACAGCATTATTTCACCCAGCTCAAACGTCATCATCTCTGGGAACCCTCTCGCTACTCCTCAGACTATATCCATAGTTCCTTGCTGGGTCCTATATCCTTTACATTCTATACCCACAAAATTATCGGTTGGCATCTTAGTCACTATACTGTGAGCCCCTCAAAGATAGACACTATCTCACTGATCTTCCTATCAGATGGCCAATAAATGTTTGATGAAGTGTTTCATGCCACAGAAAATACATGCTCCGAGGGCATGCTTTTCTTCTAACCTTGCCACTTTCTCCATAAAAAAGGGGAAGTTCTTCTTCCATATGGATTCAGTCCTGTGCAGTCCCTGAGGAAAAAGTATTTGGTAAAATCAGCATCCCGTATGTCAGATGACACTAGGCAGGTTAAAACTACTTCTAATTAACAGGAAAAATAAGCTGAGCTCAAATATGGTGAAGAGAAAATAAAGGAATTAAGTTTTAGGCATGGGAGTTAACAGCTATAACACTCCAAAGGTGTTTTAACTGTTCTGGAACTACCACACTGCTTCTTATGGGAATCCTCCTGCTGAGGTGTAAAAAGCAATCCCAGGATAAATATAGATTCTTAAATCTAAAAGGAAATAGAAAATTTTCATTTCAGAGTTAACTTTCTATAGATAAAGAAAAATAAACTTAGACCTTGTTCAAACTTTCCCTGGGATTGGAAAATTCCAAATCACTGTGATCAGCAGACTTATCAATTCTCAGCTCCACTGAGAAATATATGATTTACTAAGCTGGGGGAGAAAAAGGTAGCGGGGGAGGGTAGGTAATGAATGAAAAGGATGAAACGATGAATTAATATGGCTTTGATATCCTAAACTTTAACAAAAAATCTAAAACAATTGCCATCAAGTATGTAGCAACAGTACTGCATGTCCCTGCCTTAACCATCTTCACAATATTTTCTACCAATAGAAGTAACAGCAGAAGCAGCCCTATCAGAATATATGCACCATGTCCACGATTCAATCATTGCAAGTCAACTATCTTGTCACTAAAGATGAAAAAAAAAAAAAAGGCAATTTAATGAGCCCTGGCCAGTTTTCTAAGTAGTTAGAGCGTCGGCCCACAGACCAAAGAGTCTTTGGTTGGATTCCTGGTCAAGGGCATGTACCTTGGTTGCAGGTTCCCCAGCCCCAGTAGGGGCGCATGTGGGAGGCAACCAATCGGTGTGTCTCTCTCATGTGGATGTTTCTTTCTCTCTTTCTCCCCCTCCTCCCTCCCTTCCACTCTCTCACTAGAAATCAATGGAAAAAATATCCTCCAGTGAGGATTAAACAAAAAGCAATTATATTTAATAATGTTGATATTTCTGATTTAAGTTGGATTATATTTACTCAAATACAATCCATATTTCAAGTACTAAAATGAGAACATTTTATTTAATATTATCTATAAGTAACCAAAATAAGGTCAAGCCTTGCCCTGGCCAGGTGGCTAAGTTGGTTGGAGCGTCCTCCCATACACCGAAAGTTAGTGAGTTCTATTCCCAGTCAGGGTTTATAGGGGAAGCAACTGATTGAAGTTTCTCACATTGGTGTTTCTCTCTCTCTCTCACCCTTCCTCTCTAAAATCAATAACAACATATCCCGGGGGAGGATTAAAAAAGTAATAATGAGGTCAAGTCTTAAAGGTGTTCCTTATTGATATTTTATATGCCCTTAAGGATACTGTTAAAATGTTGTTTTCCTCAGCTATAAAAAGATCTCTCAGAATATAAGGAATAATAATATATTCAGAATACTTATAACTCAAACCATGGCAATGGTTTACTTCTAATGTTTGGAAAAGATATGCTTGCTTTAAAAGGATCACTTGGACTTTTCTTATAAATTTACTAGAGGCCTGGTGCACGACATTCGTGCACTTGGGGCGGGGGGTGGCGCAGGGGGGTCCCTCAGCCCGGCCCGTGACCTCTTGCAGTCCCTCTTGCAGTCCAGGAGTCCTCAGGGGGTGTCCGACTGATGGTGAGCCTAAGCCATCAGTCGGACATCCTTAGCACTGCCACAGAGGCAGGACAGGCTCCCGCCATCACCGCTGCACTCGCCAGCCATGAGCCTGGCTTGTGGCTGAGCAGTACTCCCCCTGTGGGAGTACAATGACCACCAGGGGAAGCTCTTGCATTGAGCATCTGCCCCCTGGTGGTCAGTGCACATCATAGCGACTGGTCGTTCCGCCGTTTGGTTGATTTGGATATTAGCCTTTTATTATATAGGATAAAGCTAGATCTGGTTGTCAGTGTGGAAAGATAATTTCATATTCCTAGATAAGAGGATAATAACCAAACTTTTCTATTAATTTGCAAGTGCTTTAAGAGAAGGCACCATGACTCTTTTACTGCTATAACCACCACAAAGTAGAATGCAATATATTCATTGAATACAGCTTTTTGAATATTGGATACTAACTATATCAGAAATTCTTCTATTTTTGCCTCATCCTAACCAGAAATACTTTTTCCATATCTGCCCCAACTTTATTGAATAAAAATTAGAAAAGAGGAGAGGGATGAGAATAAAGAGAAAGAGAAGAGAAAGGAGAGGAGGAGGATTCAAAGGCAAAAAATTGAAATATAGAAAGAGGACCAAAGTAGAGATGTGACTGCCCTCATTGTTAAACTTTAGACCACCTTTTCTTCCTGGTAGAAGAGAAATCTTGCTAATATGCCAAATCACAAAATACCATATCCAGGTTTTTGTTTGTTTGTTTGTTGTCTTTTCCACCTCATCCCTGTACCATTGTAGATAGAGATTTATTTTAACAACTGTATATGTTGGTTTTTTTAAAGAGGAAAATAAATAGCTTTTTTTCAGTGTCTTTTAGAAATTTCAAGAATAGTAACATATTAAAAATTAGAACGATGAAAAATGAGCCATTCTATTTATTTGATAAGACATAATTGCATCTAGGCATAAGAAAATTACCATATTCAAATAAAAACATTCAGTTGAATTCAATTAACATAATTTCATTTTGTTGATCAAAATTCCCAATATACTTAGTATCCAATATACAAAAATGATTCAAGATTATTATTTTACAGTACTGTGAAAACATACTGAATCTTCTAGCATTGTGAAAAATGCCTTTTTAAAAAACATTCCAATGTGATACAAACACATAGAAGAAACAGAGAAGGAAAAGAATATACCACCTTGCAACTTTAATAAAGTCATTATTTACCTGAGAAAAATACAATTTAAAGATTATATCAGCTCTATTATTTGAAAGTCAGCAGTAGAGGTACTCAATTATAAAAAAATTAATATTGTAAAATATAGCTTCTAGGTATTATACTTTATAAGTTTTGGGAGCAGGCTTCAACAATCCAGACAATGTAACATGAAAAAACACATACTAAAAAAGTTTAATCTACAGTATTTCAACATAGAAAATTCAAAGGAAACCATCTGGAATGTGAAAAAAGCAAAACTTTCAAATTTTTGGAACAAAGTATAAAAAATATCTTTATGATTTCAGGGCAGGGAAAGATTTCTTAAATAAGACACAAAACAAAAGCATAAACCACAAAGAAAAGACCAATAAATTTTACTACATTAAAGCTTAAAATTTTGGCATAATAAATGACAAAATGAACAAAAGGGAAAAACGTGATAAGGAACAGGAAAAGATATTTTCAACACATATAACTGATAGCTGACAAAGGGTGAGCACCCAGAATATATAAAGAACATTTAACAATCAGTAAGAAAAAGACAATTTAGAAATGGGCAAAGGATACAAGCAATTCCCAGAAGAAATTAATAAACATATGAAAAGATGCTCAAATTCACCATGGAATTTAAGATGGAAATGCAATCACAATGAGATAGATCTCATCCATCAGATCTGCAAAATTAGAGAGGAAAAATACCTAGTGTTCGTGAGGATGCAGACCAAAAGACACTTCAACTGCTGGAAGGTAAACTGATATAATAACTTTAGAGAGCAATCAACAATACTGCCTTTCAATCTTTTTGATACATATATGTAGTTGAAACAAAAGTTTCATAAAATCTTACCCTTACTACATGAGATGCTTATATCTTCTTTTGTATTTTTTCTATTTTATTCTATTCTACGCTGTTTTATCTTATCTTTCTCTATTTCATTTTTTTAAAACATACTCAGCTCACTAAAATAATTTCAAGATCATTAATAAGTCATGTCTTGTAATTTGGGAAACAATGGTCTAGAGAAACTCTAGAGCAGCGGTTCTCAACCTGTGGGCCGAGACCCTTTTGGGGGTCAAATGACCCTTTCACAGCTGTCGCCTAAGACCATCGGAAAACACATATATAATTACGTATTGTTTTTGTGATTAATCACTATGCTTTATGTTCAATTTGTAACAATGAAAATACATCCTGCATATCAGATATTTACACTACGATTCATAACAGTAGCAAAATTACAGTTATGAAGTAGCAACAAAAATAATTTTATGGTTGGGGGTCACCACAACATGAGGAACTGTATTAAAGGGTCGTGGCATTAGGAAGGTTGAGAACCACTGCTTTAGAGGGTCAAAATTAGATGCTCAAGGGCCAATGTTTCAAGTTTTGGCAAGAGTAATTTTCTAAACTAAATATACATCAACTAAGATAATCTTTTGCATGACATTTCTTATTTTGGTTGTTTTCCTAAGTGTGTATAGTTCAATAATTTATTTCCAAATTATCCCTCTTTAGGACAGATAACTTCTTATTCTTATATACTCTATTTCAAGATTTTTCCCTACACTCTTAATAACTACACGGTTGAATACTATTGGACAAGCAGACAATCTTTCGATGATTGAACATGGTAATATATACATTCTGAATCCTCTCAAAGAACAGGTCAAATAGTTCACTTCCCTGTATAAAGCATTTACAAGGCAGTCTCTACACATTATTGTTGGCAAAGCAATCACTATTGATCAGTGTGTCTGCTAATATGACATGTCATTATGGACTGAAATTTGGTTAGGCCTATGTGGTTCATTCAGAAGTCTCTACGAGCAATAATTTAATACCTTAAAGCCTGACATAATACCAAGTGAATCTTTAACACAGTTTCAAATAAAAAAAAGCAATGACCATGCTAGAAAACAACATCACAAGTCATACACAGACGGACATTAAGAAGCAATTGCAAAGTGTAGTAAAATGTAAAGAAAACATACAAATTTTTTCAACACATCAGTAGTATAGCTTTGGCTAGTCTCTTCCATTTAAGAGCCCAGTCTCTTAACTTGATGTGCTGAGTTAAACTGTAAACCTTGAATAGCTTGAACTCAATTTGAAAAAACATTTGTTTTACCTTTATATTATAAAAGATGATTACACTTGCTTTAATGGTCATAGTATGAGTCCCCATGAAAGACTTAGTAGAGAATGGCAAGGGCCATTTTCTCCCAGAAAGACAATTAATTTTAAAAACCAGTTCTCTGCCATAAATATCACCTTCAGTTTACCCTCCAAACCCATAGTAACCATGCTGTTAAAACTGCAACCCATATGTACACTCCCAGTCCCCTTTCTCTGCTCTCTTTTTTCATTTTTTCATAGCACTCATAATTTTCTAGCATTAAATAAATGTTTATTGTTAATCATTCTTGGCTAGAACGTAAGCTCCAGAAGAAAAGAAATCATTGTCTATTATGTGCACTGACATATCTGAACACCTAGCCAGGATCTGATACCAAGCAGTAACTCAAATGTTTGTTGAATGAATGAATGAATGAATCCAAGTTGAGAGTTTAGTACAGAATATTTCTGAAGACAGTCAAATTTCAATTTCAATTATACAGTTAACAAATATATACTGAGATCTGATTATGGAAGAGACAGATCATATCATATCAGATAGTGGTTAAGTGCCAAATAGAGCAACTTAAGAGCAAGAGCAGCAGCTACTGTAGACGAGGCAGCTACCTCCATGAAGTGATGGCAATTGTTTTGCGGCTTGAATGAAGTTGGGTGCTGTGCAGATTT